TCGTTGGAGCCGCGGAACTCCCAGAGGATCTCGCACGGCTCGTCCGCGACGCAAGCGCTCGCCGCGCCTCCGACGCTCGCGATGTCGAGGTGGCACGCCGTGGGGGAGACGCTCGGCGCGGACGTGGGCGCGGGCGTCGGCTTGACCGACGGCGACGGCGTCGGCGAGATCGAAGGCGCGGGGGTCGGCGCGTCCGACGGCTTGGCCGTGGGGCCGGCCGTCGGCGCGGGCGTCGGCTTCGCGGAGGGCGACGTCGAGGGCGACGCCGACGGCGCGGGCGTCACCGGCGCGGCCGACGGGTTGCCGGGCAGCGGCGTCGGCGCGGCCGTGGGCGCGTCCGACGGCCTCGGGGACGGCTCGACCGAAGGGCCGGGCGTCGGCGCGTTGGACGGCTTGGCCGTCGGCGCGGCCGCGTGGAGGACCCGGAAGTCGACGGAGTCGGGCGCGCAGGAGTCGTCGTCGCACGCGAGCTCGAGCGTGTACTCGTCGAGCGCCGCGTTCCCGATGAGGACCTGCGTGGCCTGGCCCACGTTCTCCAGGGACCGCCGCGGGCCCCCGGGGACGTTCGTGAGCGTCGAGGTCACGTTGACGCACGCGTCGTCGCCGCCGCGGTACTCCCAGAGGAGCTCGCAGGGCACGTCGGCGAAGCACGCGCCGTCGACGCCGATGCTCGTGATGTTGAGGGAGCACGCCGCCGCCGTCGGCGCGGTCGTCTCGAAGAGGGACGTCGTCGTCGTCGCCGCGACGACCTCTTCGGCCCCGAGGGCCGTCGGCGCCTCCGTCGGCGCCTCCGTCGGGCAATCGGGCCGCGCACGCCGCGCGGCCATGTCCACGGGGCAGGGCTCCTCCACGGGGGGCGCCGCCGTAGTGGTCGCGACCATCTCCTCGGGCGCCTCCGGCGGGATGAAAATCCCAAAGGCGTCCGCCGACGCCAGGAAGGTCGCGGCGAGGAGAAGTCGGGGAATCGTCGTCATCATGATGTCGCGGGGGGTGTGCGAGAGGCCTTGGGGACGCGGGCGCTCGATGGACGCAATCCAAGCCGCGTACAGCTGTAGAAAAATCACAGGTCTAAAGTTCCCCAGGGGCTCCAGTGCACTGGGAAGCCGATCCGATGGGCAGCGCCCGACTTTGACGGCCGCGTTCGGCGGCTCGGTCCGCCGGGCGCCCCGGCGCCCTTCGAGCTCGCGCCGCGCCGGTGGGCGATCTTCGACGCGCCGCTCTCGATCTCGAGAAACGAGCACGATTTCGGGGCGAACGGGGCCTCTGGATCCGGGCCATTTCGACGCGTCGAGGGGCGATATGTCGGTCCTAGTGCAGAAAAAACACGGGGGCGCTGGTGCGATCGCACAGGGACCTGG